CATAAAAATAAAAAATAAAATAAAATGTATCAATAAATAAAATATAAAATAAAATAAAAAAGGAAATATATACATTTAAAAAATGCAATCGTCCTTCCTTCCTCCTAATGTTTTTTACTTGCCCTAAACGTGTGAGTTTTGACTGAAGGACCGCAAACTATTTTTGTTTCTCCATCAATAAACACGAAACCAAGAAAAACATTGACTATGACAAACGTATACTCGCACTGCAACTCGAATGGCAATACAGAGCTCAATCAAACAATCATTGAATGCGTATTTCACTTTTTTAGGGTCTCCCCGAGCGTGTTCGGATTTTTACAGGCATTTTTATTTAGTTGAAGTCGGCTCGTAATACAGGAACATATTTCCAATTTGCTGGGATTTTATTACAGTTGGGTTATGGCGCCCTGCCGCAACACTAAACGCCGTTTTATAGGGATCCGTAAAGGGATACAAATGGCAGAATTTGTACGTATCCAGCACAGGGGATCTCTCATGGTGACACCCCTGCAGCAAACACAATGAAAAGTCTAAAAGGCAGCAGAGGATGCTGGGAACATGAGGACGTTCTGCTGTAGGGAGGCCAATGGTGACACCCCTGCAGCAAACACAATGAAAAGTCTAAAAGGCAGCAGAGGATGCTGGGAACATGAGGACGTTCTGCTGTAGGGAGGCCAATGGTGACACCCCTGCAGCAAACAATGAAAAGTCTAAAAGGCAGCAGAGGATGCTGGGAAGATGAGGACGTTCGGCTGTAGGGAGTCCAATGGTGACACCCCTGCAGCAAACACAGTGAAAAGTCTAAAAGGCAGCAGAGGATGCTGGGAAGATGAGGACGTTCTGCTGTAGGGAGTCCAATGGTGACACCCCTGCAGCAAACACAATGGAAAGTCTAAAAGGCAGCAGAGGATGCTGGGAAGATGAGGACGTTCTGCTGTAGGGAGGCCAATGGTGACACCCCTGCAGCAAACACAATGGAAAATCTAAAAGGCAGCAGAGGATGCTGGGAAGATGAGGACGTTCTGCTGTAGGGAGTCCAATGGTGACACCCCTGCAGCAAACACAATGGAAAGTCTAAAAGGCAGCAGAGGATGCTGGGAAGATATGGACGTTCTCCTGTAGGGGGGCCGGGATTTCAGAAGCTCCAGATCCAAATTGGTTTTCCAAGCAAGCTCACTGGCCTGGTACGGTGGCTCCAACAGGTCTCCCTCAGTGGTGTACCCGGGAGAAGCTTAGAATATAGATATTTATTGAATGGGGGGGCCAGACCAAAGTCCAAGAAGTCTTCAAAGAAGAAATCCGGGTACATTGTTATTAACCCTTACACTGGGGCTACCCCCCCACACTGCAAGGGTTAATTTACTAATTTTTCTCTAGGATCCTCAGAGCCAGCTTGCTCTCAGAACGGTCCCTGGAGCCTTTCTCCCCCTTCGCCGCAGCGGTCTAAGGTCCCGTTAACCATCATGTCCAATTCACTGTGTATAGGACGTGAGGACCCCGAGGGACATTCCATTACGGGAAGGAGGGAACGCTGTCACAAGGAGTCGGGTGAGTATACATTTGTTAAACCAAAACGGGCAGTTAACCTTTGTCCTGCGGGGGTAGACCCACAGCAAGGGTTCATAGAAGAATTTACCCGGGGTTCTGGTTTAATTACTCAATTGCAAAAGGAAGAACAACCGACGCGCTTTGAGGGCATACCTGTTGCTGGGCACTTTGTGTAATTTACAATCGAAAAGGAGAATTCATAGCACAGGAAGCTAGGACTGCCGGCACTTGTAGCTCCATATTGGCTGTGTGCTGCTACCCGGACACTATGACTGCCGGGACTTGTAGCTCCATATTGGCTGTGTGCTGCTACCCGGACACTATGACTGCCGGCACTTGTAGCTCCATATTGGCTGTGTGCTGCTACCCGGACACTATGACTGCCGGGACTTGTAGCTCCATATTGGCTGTGTGCTGCTACCCGGACACTATGACTGCCGGGACTTGTAGCTCCATATTGGCTGTGTGCTGCTATCTGGACACTGGGACTGCCGGGACTTGTAGCTCCATATTGGCTGTATGCTGCTATCTGGACACTGGGACTGCCGGGACTTGTTGCTCCATATTGGCTGTGTGCTGCTATCTGGACACTGGGACAGCCGGGACTTGTTGCTCCATATTGGCTGTGTACTGCTATCTGGACACTAGGACAGCCGGGACTTGTAGATCCATATTGGCTGTGTGCTGCTATCTGGGCACTGGGACTGCCGGGACTTGTTGCTCCATATTGGCTGTGTACTGCTATCTGGACACTAGGACAGCCGGGACTTGTAGATCCATATTGGCTGTGTGCTGCTATCTGGACACTAGGACAGCCGGGACTTGTAGATCCATATTGGCTGTGTGCTGCTATCTGGACACTAGGACTGTCAGGACTTGTAGATTCATATTGGCTGTATGCTGCTATCTGGACACTAGGACTGCCGGGACTTGTAGCTCCATATTGGCTGTGTGCTGCTATCTGGACACTGGGACTGCCGGGACTTGTAGCTCCATATTGGCTGTATGCTGCTATCCGAACACTAGGACAGCCGGGACTTGTAGCTCCATATTGGCTGTGTGCTGCTATCTGGATACTGGGACTGCCGGGACTTGTAGCTCCATATTGGCTGTGTGCTGCTACCCAAACACTAGGACTGCCGGGACTTGTAGCTCCATATTGACTGTGTGCTGCTATCTAGACACTGGGATTGCTGGCACTTGTAGCTCCATATTGGCTGTGTGCTGCTATCCAAACACTAGGACTGCCGGGACTTGTAGCTCCATATTGACTGTGTGCTGCTATCTAGACACTGGGATTGCTGGCACTTGTAGCTCCATATTGGCTGTGTGCTGCTATCTAGACACTGGGATTGCTGGCACTTGTAGCTCCATATTGGCTGTGTGCTGCTATCTAGACACTGGGATTGCTGGCACTTGTAGCTCCATATTGGCTGTGTACTACTATCTGGGGACTGGGACTACTGGAAGTTGGTGCTACACAGACTCAAAGGGTAATAGTTGCTGGCATCGGACTACCAGGTGGTGTCCCTGGACTCCTGAACTAACTGTTCGCACTCTGACCTACATTTGTTATATCAGTCCCCTCCATCCTGGTCCCTCTTGCCCAATGGTGTGCCAAAACTCCCCTCAATAAACGCTCCACCCGTCGGGTCCTGTGTGATTAGCCTCCGGTTGCTCTCTCTGCACTCTTAGCTTGTTGCAGAAGGTCTAACTCTCCCCACCGTACTGCAAGTCCATGGATACATGTGAGTGTTTAACTGTGCCCATATTACAACCCTGGGTACAACACTGTATTGATGGGGGTGCGTGAGGGAGGGGGGTGTTTTTAAAATCTTTCTAATTGCTAAACATTAACATATACGGATCTATTTAATTTGATCACTAAATACAGTAGATGGCAATTGAAAAGCATCGCTCGATTTGTTGTATATACTGCTATCAACTAACTGCAGCAGAAGAAGCAAATGTGATCTCTCATCAGCCGGTATCCAAATTGGGTCAAATGATCTCATCAACCGTTGGACTTCTGCCTCCAGCTAACAAATGGATCATAATTCAAAAAGGAATTTAAAACATGTCAAATCCATAAAAGAGAATTCCGGGCAAAATACAATTCAGCAATTGATATAGGTGTTGACCTGTGTTTTTTGGATGTAAGCCATGGCATGGTTATAGTTTATTTCCTTGAACAGGTCTACAACTGAGCACATTCTCTTCTAAAAGTGTATCCAAAGAGCAGCCGCG